CATAGAATAGAAAAATGAAATACTGAAATGTTATTTGCCCATTGTTTTTAATAATAGTGCCAAGACTAAATCTAAAATCTCAAGATGTAGTGAAATGAGCCCCTCTTCCATATCCTGCCATCTCTCCAAACATTGAATAATTTATCTTTTATGGACCTCAACTTTCCCTTATGAATAACTGTCAGTCATACAATTAGGGAATCTGATAAAAATGCAAGAGTCTATACACAATGATTTTTTTTTTAATCCTTACCTGAGGATATTTTTTCATTGATTTTCAGAGAGAGTGAAAGAGAGAGGGAAAGACAAAGAATCATCGATGTGAAAGAAACACATCGATTGGTTGCCTCCGGCATGTGCCCGGGCCAGGGCCCAAGCCCAGGCTGCGGAGGAGTCTGCAACCAAGGTACGTGCCCTTTACCGGAATCGAACCAGGGACCCTTTGGTCCACAGGCCAACGTTCTATCCACTGAGCCAAGCTGGCTAAGGCCACAATTATTTTTATTGATAAAGTTTCTTAAAGAGAAAAAGCTGAAGTTTTTCAACCACCCAGATCATCTGTCCTCTTCCTCCTTTCCCATCACCACTGCAACATGTATATTTTTGCTACCACATTGAATAAAAATAGATAAGGGAACAGAGCCTTGGCTCTGGGTGTCTCAGTTGGTTGGAGTGTCATCCAGTACATTCAGGATAATATATTCACCTTATATTTAATTTTTACTTTTTTTCTCTAAAGAAGATAAATACTTTTTTCCCCTAAAAAATCTTTTTTCTTCTTTCATGACATGTTATATAACATGTCTGTGCTCTCTTTTTAGATTTATTCCCAAGTACTTTATTTTCTCTGATAATATTTTTATCATGTTTCCTCTTATATCTATATTCATGTGATTGCTCACATATGACTATTTAAGACAATACAATTTATATTCTATAAAAAGAATATATATATATATATACATACACACACACATATGTTTGTACAATTCTAATATTGTTATCCTCACAGCAACTTGACCCCCATATTGGTAGTGCCGACTGTAGTTAGCCATTAGATTACCTGAATTAACAGGCTTATCTTCTCTATTATATTTGTAAATATTTATAAAATTTCCTAGCCTTACTGTCAGACTATAAGAGAACTCCATGTTATAAATTAGGTCTTGAAACTGTTAGAAGCACTCTGATGTTATTTCTGCTGAAGAGACAAAAAACTAAGCTGCTATTTTAAAATATTGTAAATCAGAAGAGTAATTTTTAAACTTACTAAGTTTTAATTTAATTATATCTGCAATGATTATCACCAAGTACAACTTACATACTTTTGTTAATCTCCTACAGTGTACATGCATTTCAGTTTCTCTTAACTATTTAAACATATTTCACAGTATTCATAGGCACTGAGGTTTAGATTTTAGAAGGGCAATAAAGCAATTAGTACCAGCGTCCTTATGTTTACATTGAAAGGCAGAAAACCCAACAGGAAACCTGCTGCTTTAAACTGACTGGAATTTTAGTGATATCTGAGGATTTGTTTCAACATGGTTACTTTACAAGCAAGTTCCATAGATTTCTAGATGATAACATTGTCAAGATTTATGACAAAGAGCCAAAACAAAAGTATTTTAAGACCCAAGTAGTTTGCTTCAGTTTCTCTGTTACCTCATCCTTATTAATTCATTCATTATTAATCCAACACAACAGAATGCTTCTTTATGAAGCATTAGAACTCTAATCATTTTTTTTGTTTGTAAAAATGTGCCCAGCCTCACTTTTTTCACTGTGTATTCTACAAACATGTCTAAATTACATTTTCCTTGATCATTTGAAAAAGTTAGTTTATTAATTTATATTTCCCTTGTTTCTTTCTCTTGGTGCTTCAAAAGCCCCTGCCATGAATCTCTTTCAAAAAGTGGTCTCCAGCCCAGTCAGTTTGGTTCAGTGATTGAACATCAACCTATGAACAAGGAGGTCACAGTTGAATCCCGGGCTGCGGACTCGATCCCCCGTAGGGTGGTGTCTGAGGCAGCCAATCAATGATTCTCTCTCATCATTGATGTTTCTCTCTCTCCCTCTCTCTTCCTCTCTGAATTCAATTTAAAATATATATATATATTTTTAAAAGTGGTCTCCATCTATGTTAGTCATAGATTTTTAGAGAGATGGTAAAAGTTTCCTTACAAGTCATGTAAACAACTCCCTTGTTTTAAGGGAACAGAGCCCTGGCTGGGTGGCTCAGTTGGTTGGAGTGTCATCCAGTACACCAAAAAGGTTGCGGGTTCCATTCCCCATCAGGGCGGGTTCAATCACCAGTCAGGGCGCATACGGGTGGCAACCAATTGATGTTTCTCTCTCACATCAATGTTTATATCTCTATCACTTCCTCTCTCTCTAAAAATCAATAAAAACATATCCTTGGGTGAGGATTACAAAAAAAATGGAACTGGAAGTCAAAACCTAAGTCACCTGATCCACAATCTCTAATTCTTTCCCCAATAAAACAGTTTCCTAAAGACACATGAAATATCTCTGATTACTGTGAATTAATGTATTGTCAATGTTTCCTTTTATAGATCATTCACGAGAAGTCTTGGAGCAATTAGTAGGCCCAAACAAATTAAAGCAAGTGACATGGACTGCTTATTGATGCTTATCCAAGTTATGCTCTTCATACTGTCAGGAAATGATGGTCTTGGAGATTGGCTTTCCAACATGTAATATGGTTTGTGACTTACCAGACTCTTAAATGCTTTAATAGTGCTATTATTCTGTGTTTGTTTAATGAGTCATTGTTTTAGAATTTTAATCCTAGCATGCCCCTCTGATAGATTTGGGGGTAGGGGGAGAAGGCACTGTGTTTGTTTCTTAATAACAAAGATTTTAAATTATCTGTTTTCCCTGGAGATTTCCTTTTCCTACCCAAATATTTGAGCTGTTGTAAAAGAAATGTACCAATGTGGATAAATTTTAAGTAAAGGTATTTCTTAAAGTATAACTACCTTTTTAGCTATTTTCTGGCTCCTACCTTCCTGAAGTATTTAAATGCCCATTGGCCAAAAGCTACGCTGAACACTGGCCTATAAATTCTGTATAGAATTTAATATTTCAGTGAAACAAAGAAACATAACAGTTAATGTCATAATCCATGATGTCATACACCTTAGCCATTCAGCATAAAAATGTTACTGAGGCCCTTGCCCAGTCACTTATTTCATTGATTTTTATGGCTATTTTTCTCTGAAAATAGTTCCCAGACCCAATTCCAACATGGGGTGGGGGATAGAATCAGATTCTGTTCTATTCTGGAGGTAGAAACAGATTCTACAGGTTAAGGGTCCAGTCCTACAAGACTGCCCCCCTTCTGTCCCTGCCCACCCAGCACACTTCAGACACCAGTTGCAAGTCCAGGTTGTTACTTGTGCGTCTGATCAATTGGCTACAAATTGGAGGTACCAAGGATCCGTTCCTTGAGTTAGATTAGTTTCCTAGAAGGACTCACAGAACTCAGGAAAACCTGTTTACTCACTAAATTACCAGTTTGTTATAAAGAATATTAAAGGATAAAAATCAACATCCTGATGAAGAGATACACAGAGAGGTCACAAAAAAGGAGCCTTTTATCCTCACAGAGCTAGGGCCCAGAGCGGTGGCAGGTGGAAGGCTTCTGGAAGCTCTCCACACCCCCTCCTTGTGGGTTTTTATGGAGGCCTCATTATGTAGGCAGGGTTGATTGATTCAACTGGTTGTCCCTCTCACCTCCCCAGAAAATAGGGGTGGGACTGAAAATTCCAACCTTGTATTCATGGTTGGTTCGGGACAACCAGCCCCCATTCTTAGGTGCTTTGTAAAAGTCACCTTAATTAACATCACATGAATAACAAGACACCTTTTCACCTTTATGGCTCTGGGTTCAGGAACTGAGAACAAGAGACCGCATTTATAATAAAAGATGCTTATTGTTTAGGAAATTCCAAAAGTTTATAGTACTATGAGCCAGGAATTATGGATGCAGACCAAATACATTGGATAAATATATTTTGGTCACATCCTTGAGAATAATGAGCCCTGCATTCTTAGCTCTAGGATTGGTCCAGGACGGTTCTCAGCCAAATGTCAGCCGTCTGGATGCTGGATGCCAGGAAGTCTGGAGGATGGGCATCCTGAGTCCTTAGGGAGTAGTCGGAGGGTTATCCAAAGGTAAATAAATGTCCAGGCATTGATATAGGATGGGAAAATTCAAAAGTTTAAGTTCCTAAGCTAGTTAAGACAAGAAAAAGAATTGTTTCCTTATGCCTCACCTTCATACTGTTAAAGTGACTCCATTTTGTATTTTCCCTATCTTCATTCTTTTTTTTTAAATCACTTAACAATTTTTTCCCAAATTTTATTTATTGGATATTTTTCCACTGATTTTTTTTAGAGAGAGTGGAAGGGGCAGGGAGAGACAGAGCAAGAGAAGCATTGCATCGATTGGTTGCCCTTGAATGGAATTGAACCAAGGACTGATGCTCTATCCACTGAGCCAGACTGGCAAGGGCCCTATCTTCATTCTTTTCCTCAATAAATACATACATCTTTTTTGCATAGTGGTATTCTATACACATTCTCCTTCACATTGTTCCTCTCTTATATCATAGTGGTTTGTTTTTTTTAATACGTAAGATTCTATAAACCTGGGATGTGTAGTGGTGGCGTAACCAATTTCTAACTAACCTTAGTAAGCCATAAAGAGGCATATGGTGTCAGTACAGAGTATGTTGGAAATTCTAAAATCTTTATTTTTATCCCTGGTTGTCCATTAAGACCCTATTATGTACTAAATACTATAGTCTTCTATATTTTATATTTTTGTTTGTTTAATTCAACACATCACATAGTTGTCCTCAACTACAGAAACCGACTCAGCTACAATATCTAATTCTCTCCCCAATTTACTTATTGCTACAACTTACTGCCTTCTATAATTATATTCCGATAGCAGTAAAACTAGAAAATAATTACAGATAAAGAATTGTATATTTGGCATAATGCAGAACTAGTTACATGACAAAAGTCTAAATCTTCATATTTTGGAAACAAGATTTGCCATTTCACAGGAACTGCATTCTTCAAACATAGGTATATCCATACTTGGAAGCATTTTGACAATTCAAGGCTGGAAATCCCACACGGCGCTTGTTGTCAGTCCATTGTTTTCCTGCCTAGTAGGTTCTGGAAGTGAATATTCTACCACTTTGTGCAGCTGATGCTGAATGCTGTGTCCTCTGAACTGGGGCCGGCCTGGGTCACCAATCAGTACTCGAGTTTTGTGAGTCCAAAAGCAATCCTTCAGCCATCAATGAAGACTATCTGCAAGGTCTTCATCATAAAACATATCTCCAAGCACAATAAGGTCCCACTTATCTTGTTCTAAATCCAAAATGTTTTTGGTTAAAATAGGAAAAGGTTTCAGTTGGTTCAATTCACAATTTAGTGTGATAGCCATTCCTGCAACTTTAAAAAAGGACATGATGAATTGGTATATACTAGTACTAGACTGTTTGAATTCCTTATTGATTAATTTAGTTTATAATATCTCTTAACAATGTTTTCTCCCTTTAAAAAGATTCTTTTAAAACATATTTTTAGCCCTAGCCGGCTTGGCTCTGTGGATAGAGCGTCAGCCTGCGGATTGAAGGGTCCTGGGTTTGATTCCGGCCAAGGGCACATGCCTGGATTGCGGGCTTGATCCCCAGGGGTGTGCAGGAGGCAACCGATCAATGATTCTTTCTCGTCATTGATGTTTCTATCTCTCTCTCCTTCTCCCTTTCCTCTCTGAAATCAATAAAGAAATAATATTTAAAAAACAAAAACAAAATTT